GTTGAAACTTTCTTCTTGATCGCGTGGCAAGTGAGACCCATTTTTTAGGCATTTATCTTTCCAATAGCCAGCGACCATCACATACATCACCGAGGAAATGAACCAGCTGATTCCCTAGAACGTCCAGATTTGAGAATTTAGCAAGGCCATTTAGTGTGTGAAAGGACAACCCAAACAAGATTGCTTTCCAAACCTGCACTGTTTTCCTCTCCAAAAACTCTAGCTGAGAAGAAGGTACAGAGGAGAGAGGGAGGGACACACTTTGCAATAAGTCCGTGTTTTATTCTGAGAACTAACATAACTGGAAAACTAATTCCTAGCTTGTTTGCTTCAGCAATAAAAGGCAAGAACTCCTGAGAAGGCTCAGTCTAGAACACTACAAGCCATTTGGTATGTTTGTACTGTATTAGGTTTTTACTATTAATATCCAAGGCTTTAATCACAACAGCTAAACGTCTTATAACGTTTGCTACAGGCTCATCCAGCTTCTTCTAGCTCTTACTATTTACTAGTTTTGAACAACCAAGATGTAGCTGAAGATCTTCCAACGGTGTTGATTATCAGGAGAAGTCTATACACAAAACTATACCGCATGTTTATTTTTCTATGGACAATACATATCTAAACTATCAAAGCAGCAACATCTGAGCTAACCCAAAGTAACTGAAATGTGCACCATCTTAAATAAAAATGGTGCATTATAAGTTTACTCATTCCCCCATTCCAGTAAATCAATATCCTCTTGCTCATCCATTAAAAAGGATGCATTATAAGCACCTGTACTAGACATAAAGCTAAAAACTTGGGTGTGTTTCTCATAGACAAAGTTGTTTAAGTAATTTAGCACTGGAGAAAAAGAAATTCGGACACAAGGGACCAGCCTTGTGTGGGAAACACTTTTACGTGTATGACAAGAAGTGAAGAAACTGTTCGGTTTGCACCAAAGCTGTAACTTAATTGACATTTTTCCTATGCCAGCCAACATGAAAGGTGCAGCGATTAAATTTCTATCTATGTAACTCTGCTTACTACTTCACTTAAAGTATTTTAAAACACTAACACGTATCACCGAGCAAATAAAGCCTGTGGTTCCCTCAAAATGGGGTGGTTGTGCAGCCATGTGATTTGCAGACAAGCCCCTTGCCGAATTCAGTACCCACTGCACATGGCACAAAATCCTCCTCTCGTGGTGGGATGTGATGTGAAAGGTACTGCAGAGTTCTGGTCCCCAGGCACTTTCAAAGGAAGAGAGGGAGAGTCTGGATCAACGGGAGGACAGAGTGAATGAAACCATGTCAGACTGGGAGAGAGGGAGAAGTAACGACCGCAAATGAGACGGGCAGAACTAAAGAGAATATTAGGACAAAGGACAGTGCTGGTAGTTTAATCAGCCACACGCTCCCTGGAGATATAATGGTGGAGGAAAGACATTTCACGTCAAGCCCACAATATATTCTGCAACGCTCAAGCTTGGGAAAGATGCGATAAGAATAATTTTCATAGATTAAGTAGAATCAAGTATCTTGGAACATGTGTCCTCTTCAGTAGTTAATCTAACCCACATACTACAGGACATGCAACTTGGATGGGTTGAACCAAACTATAGGCTACTGACCAATGAGTTTTACAAGATGGAGAAAGATGGAACATATTAGTTAATGTTTTCACTGTAACTTTTCACAGGAACTTTTTTTTTCCTTTAATAGGAACTACTTATTACAGCAAAATGGTTCCAAAAAAGCATTCAGATTTGTCTGGCACATTTTGTGAATAAATTTAGAATAACAGCATGAAAGACAGGCTTCAAGCTTCAGAACATCACCAAAGTTTTTGTTACTATTTCCCCCTGACTTTATTCTTCTTTTGGAAAAATGGGTAAAAACGTATTTAATATGAGAAATAAACTCTCAGAAATCTCCCTTCTTCAGCAACCTCCCTCTATCTCGATCTGCTTCCGCACTCTCAGGAAACTTTGATGCTTTTGCACTCTTGTACTTAACTGCCTCCACCCAGCGACTTCTTCAGATTTCTCCTTTGATTTTGTGCAAGCTCGTGTAAGACTTATGTTCAGCACTGCTACTTCTAAAGCTGTGCATTAAAACATAGAATGCAAATTTGGAAATATGATAAAAGTCAATGAATACTTGAAAATATGATATTAGATATTCAGAAATTTATGCACATATTTAGACATGTGTGCGGCACTTTATATAAACCTTTCATCAGTTCAAAACATTTGGATTTTGGAAAGGAAAAATTTCAAACATTATCTTACTATACTGATTTTCACATCATTTATGCCCTAAACCCAAAATGCAACTGAGTGCACAAAAGGGAAGAGCCAGAATCCCCAAGCTCTCAAATTAAGGGCATATATATACATTTTGCTGGGCAGAATTTGAAAATTATTAATCGAAGGGTTCCATGAACTATATAGCAAGGTAAAGAAGAGAAGATAGCAGATGCTGAGTGGCTCAACTCATCCTGCCATTTACAGTGATATTTATCAACAATTTGTTTGCTACAATGAGGCACCCCAAAAGCACCAGTGCCAAAAATAAAAAAATATGTAATAAACAGACCTAATTTGGACCAACCAATGCCTGCTGAGTAACTACATTTTGAAAGATATTAAGTTCATGATCATTCTCCATAATAATATCCATCCCGATCCTCTTTACAATGAGATTTTACTTTGGAGCACACAGATGCTCTGGACAGGAGTGTTTCTTTAAGAATATTCTAAGGGGTACATAGGATTATTGAAAGATCATCCCACTAACCAACACTAAACACTCCTGCAGGCCAGTGTCACCATTACCTTTGCAGTTATCGCCTGCTCTGGGGCCCGCAAAATGGAAAAGTCCTGCATTTCAGGACTCATCCAAAAGAGTGTGAATGCAACTGAGCTTTTTATTATTTTGATACTTACAGGGGGGATACAGTGAGTTTAGCCCCACCTTCATTAGTCACCTTCATCACTTAATTAGCTGCTTACTGGAAGACAACCCTGTGATACTTTGAATGTAAATCCCACGAATTGCAATCACCAGACGTTTCTGAGGGAGAATTCAGGCAAGTCTGGAAAATGTCTCAGTAAACATCTCTGAGTGTAAAGAACTCTAAATAGAAGGGGATCCTACTCCATGGCTCCATTCTCCAAGAACACTCCCACATGATGAAATGAGCCCCAATTCATTCACAGCAAAACAAGCCAGGCCGAGTTGTGGCTGGTCTTCCAATTGAAAAAGTGAAAACATAATCATAATTTTGCCACTGACTGTCATTCTCAACGGTTTAAAGATTTTCTCCAACTCAGACAGCATAGTCAAGTACAGAAATTTTACACACTATTTTACGACTGATTACAAAAATAATAAATTGTTATGTACATAGTTTGTCCTTTCAGAGACTGAATTATGAAATAAATGAAGTTTGCTTTCAATTTAGTGTCAATGCACCTCACTAAGACTATTCCACTGCTCTAAAATTGTAAAGATGTATTTATTTATAAATATGCAAACATGAACACACACATGCACAGATACCAACGTGTACTTGTTCACATGTGCACACACTTTCAAAGCAATGGAATATTTTCACACTCATATCTTCTACATGTCAATTATGGATTACATGTATTCCAAAGACACCTCTGCTCACATTTTATACTATTTACAGTTCTTGAAATCATTATCTACAGCTAAATACTCCTGGGTATTTCATCTGTTTATTCGGTTTAATGCAACTGGGAAAAAAAAATCTTTCAGTTTTACCTTGCAACATTCCAGAATAAGATTTTCACTTAAAAAAAAAAAAAGTTTAAGAGATTAAACATGATCAACCAAGGTATTAAAAATATTTTAGTCAGTTATATGTACTATACGCCAAAAAATGGATTTGAATAATTTTTTGATTGCATGGCAATATCAAGTGTATCCAAATTTGCAAAGGACTGCTTTCTGACTGTTACACTAAGCTACCATAATTCTTTAAAAAGTTTACCTAATGCCCAGCACATGCAGATCACTGTAATGGAGAGGAGCAAGGTATTCTCCAATACACCTTGATACACTGTGGAGTTTTATTTAGTTTCTGATAGACAAGGGTAAGCTTTGTTATTTCGAGTGTTGAAAAAAATCAGGAAGTTTTGTTTTCCTCAAAATTTAATACAAAATAATGTTTCAGTATGTTTGCACAAGGGATCCCAAACTAAAATGAAGCTCAACTAGAGTGCCAGGTGTCAACCAGCAACTGCAGAGCACACACAATAGCACAGCCTGCCACCCTCGCTGGCTCCCCTCTTCTAGCTACAGAAGAAGGGAACAGCCTACAAAAATCAAGGTCCTATCTACAATGCTAAAGTTTTTAAAAATATATATGTACATGCATACGTATATATGTATGTAAATATACAAACATATATGTATACATAGCAACCATAATTCAAAAATCTCAAATAGGATGTGAAAGCCCCAACTCTTCTGAAACAGTCATGTAGTGCTGGGGGCTTGCAAAACCTTGCATAACAAATGCTTCAATATGTGCACTTAATAGCTGCTTCCAAAAGAGTTCTTTTGCTAAAATGGTCACAGAAATGAATGAGGGGAAGATTCCTTTCTTTAAAGTTCTTTTTTTCTTAAAACTAGTACTCAACAAATGTTTTGTTGTTACTCCATGTCAGAAGCCTGAGTGCAGCCACCTGATTACACAGCTTGCTAGAGTCTCATTTCCTAACCAAAACACAGAAATTTCCTAAAACTCCTGACCGACGGAATGCAGGAATTAAAAGCTCTCTTCAGGAATGAAGAGAGACCCCCCTGAGGCCCATATACCCCCCAAACCCCAGTTTTGTGAGCGTAAACATGAGAGTGGGCAGCAGAGAAGATGAAGCCTTGGGACACAAAGAAGGTTTCAGCCACTGTGAGAAACGAGCCCCAAACACCTTCCCAAACAGCAAACAAAAGATGGCATCTCCAGAGCAGGGATGACAGCCCCTCAAAACACAGATGACCCCCCTGTGTGTGACAAAACACGGTACCTTTGCCTTTTGCAGTGCTGCTGTTGCCAACCGAGGAGGATGCCTGAGAATCCTTCTTTAGCCTCTTGCTCTGAGGTCTGACACTGGATCTGAGAAAATGATGCTGGTCCTGGCTGTGGGACGGCTGGAGGGAGGCAGGGGCCTGCGCCGCGGCGGGGGTCGCCGAGGGGCTGCCGTTAGTGTTGCTGTTAATGATCTTCTCTTCTTTCTTTGTGCTGCTGCTGCCTGGAGCTGCCTCTCCTCCTCCTCCTGCCCCTTCTTCTTCCAGGGACTCCTCATCTCCTCCTGCTCGCTTGCCCAGCTTTTTCACCCCTTCCTCCCCGCTGCTCTCTCCCAGTTTCACTGTCATCCTGTTGGGGAGGGGAGAGAGAAAAGGAGGGGGCACAAAGTCAGGCCATGGACCCCCCCACCCAGGGAGAAAAATCCCTGGGCTGAGAGGGGAGAAGTTTAGCTGCAGAAATTCCTCTCAACATGGCCGCCGTTGTTTGTTACTAAATCCCCTTTCGTTTGCTGTCCCGACCCAACAACCTGTGCCGAGGGGCGGGAGGGGGAAAGCCCCGCGGGAACCCCCCCAAAGGGGCCTAAAAGGCAGCGGGGCTCCCTCGGCAGCCCCCTGGCACCTTCCCGGAGGAATTCGGGGCACCTTTGGGAGAGAAATTGCCGAGCCAAACTCGGGCGGTTGGAAGCGCTCGACAGACACACGGAGAGAAAAAAGCAGCCACCAAAGCGCCGGCGGAGCAGGGCAGCGCCGAGGGGGCCGGGGGCCCGCAAAGTGCCTCGCGCCCACCCCAGCCTACCCATTGCGCGGCTCCTGGGGCCCAGGGGGGCTCTTCTTTCTCCTCACCATGGAGCCGAGGTGATCCGACCTGCCGAGGGGGGGAAATTCATATTCCTAGATGCAGCCGCCGCCGCAGCCTCTCCTCCTCTCTCTCTGTGCGTGTGTCTCTCTCTCTGGGGCTGGCCGAGGCTACAAAGATTTCCAGCCTCCCCCCCCAGGCCGGCACCCTCGCCCCCTGCGGAGGGCCCAGCACCTCCGTGCCGGACCCCAGCCCGGGGCCGCCGCAGCACCTCCCGGCACCCCTCAAAATCAACCTGCCCCCAATTCTTTATTATTAGTATTATTATTTTAAAGTCCGCAAGCATCTGCAGCGGATTTTCCCTGCTCAGCTCAGCATAGCTTCAAGGGGCACTGCGACCACTTCGCCAAGTCAAAGAGAAGTTTTAAAACACTATTTGCTAGAAGACCCCCTTACGGACACTCTGCAGCACATCAAAAACATCTCAGAACACCTCAAAAGCCAAATAAAAGCCAAATTTGACACCTAGACCTGCTGCTGGGAGGACTGCTCATGCCATGCTGCTAGTGCTGTTACATCAACCTGCTCGATATGGCATTTAAAAAAAAAAATACCAGACACACACAAAAAGCTTAGGGCACTAAATCACACTACTTGCTAAAGGCCAATGACTCCTTTCTTGTTAAAGAGTGCAAGAACATTACTGACACCACACCTGAAAGAAGCCAAGGAGGAAACCTTTCTGCAGCAAACCAGCAAGCGGGAGCAGTCGCGACGCCTTATCACCACAGCAGAAGCCACAGTCCAATTTTAATTAGGGGGAAAAGATAAATACCAACAGGAGAAGGAAATTCCCAATATCGCAACTAAAATGCCAGAATTGCCACAGATAAGGCGGACACCAAAACAGCGCATTCTGAAACACCCCAGGCGCATCGGCGTTGTGCGGCGTGTCGTTCCGGGTGAGTTTGCTCACGACCTGTATTGCTGCTATTGGAAGGAGCCTTTTGCCTCGCCTAGTTGTCGGGGAGGGCGGCGAGGTGGCCGCGGTCCCCTGGGGCAGCCCAAGGGCTGCCTGCGACAGGGACTCTTGGGTCACACGGACGCTAGGCTCGCTGTGACCGGCAGCTCGCGGGAGACGCAGCCTGGGCGCTACCCCGAGTGCACGAACCCCAGGGCTCGTGCTCGCAGGCTTCAGTCACGGGGAATGTAAACCTCCTTGGGCTCGATTTGAGTCTTCTCGCCGCAAATCAAGCCCTGCACCTCCTGCCTCCCCAGCAGCCCCGGTGACAGAGCAGCAGTAACTCCTGCCCCCCGGAGCAGGTCGCGGTGGCGGCTACAGGGGAGAGCCAGAGCCGCTCTGCGCCCCGCGCCGCGCGGCCCCGGCCCGTCCCGCT